ATATATATATATATATATATATATATATATATATATATATATATATATATATATATATTTATATATGCCACTCCAAAAGTACTAAAACAATTTTATACTGGGTCTAACATGAATATTTCCAGCTCTGCTCTTTTCCATTTTTTACATGGATGAGATACATAAGCAATCCCAATAGCGATTTGATGGCGATTCTGACTCTTTTACAAGAGATATGATAAATAATGCTCTTTAATCCAGAAAAGAAATACATATAAATACATTAGCAGTGTGTTATAACTCTTAAGGAGTGTATTTCACATTCTTTTAGTGAACTAATACCATTACAGAAACCAATAACTGACGCTCTGATCAGTTTGATCATGCAAAGAACTTGAACTAGCAGAACTTGAGATATAAAGCTGATGAACAGGGAGATTAACATTTTCTTATGCAAGTTATTTGAATGTTCCACCTTTTTAAACATTTATTAGAAACGGGAAAGAATGTCACAATTCTGGATCTTTGTGTTAAACATGTACACTATTTGAGCTTATCAGACAAAGCCAGTCTTAATGTGTTTCCACAGTACTGTCTTCTTGTGTTGCTTTTGCCTTGCATCTTAACATATATTATTGAGGCAGTGACAGACTATAAGTAATCCCACATCACTATTCAACTGTGTCAAATCTTCCACACATCTCAAAGCTACACCGAATCCCAAACTTTTTTTGACAACTCCCACATTATGCTGTTTCAATCTCTTATATAAAGTCACTGCAGCATTCACTGGAGGTTAAAAGTACATTCCAAGTATGTTTAAAAGTTGATAGGTTTCCCACAGTAAGCTGCTAGGTTGGCCTCTCGTAATGCTTCAGCAACCGTCTGAAAAATTAATTATAATGGTTTTAAATTGTCTGCATATCAAGGTTCCATTAGATTGACACCACATCACTTCATTTAGAAATAAATTTAAGGCATTAAACTACTGATGCAATATTGCAAACTTGTACTACTTGAAATCTTATCTTGTTACTTGTAATGAAAAATACATATTAATAATATAATTGTATAGTACAAAAACTTCAGCTTTGAATGGTTATTCCAATGTTTGTCTGAATTTATTTGTACATAATTAAAGAAACATGAAAACACCCAATTTTTCAGATCACTGGAAAAATGATTTTATTATAAGTATGTCTCAGCCCTTTCCATTACTGTTGATTTTTGCGGTTGTGCTTTAAGCTAAGAATGAAAAGGGCTTGCAGTAAATGCTTGATGTCGTACACAAGTGGTGTTATAAATGGCAGTTGACTCTAAATAAGGACAAAACTCAGATGGTTCATTTCAGGACACCTTGTCTACCTAGGACTGATCGTGTATTAACATGTGGTAGTCTTCAAGTACACCTATTGCTTTTACTTTTGTATTTCCCTTTGTATGGTTGAGACTAAAACAAGATATGTTGAATTTTGATTCTGCCTTTTCCCTTACTGTTGATTTGATAGGCTAAAGAGGTGTAGTACTTCAAGCTTAACACACAGACCTAAAGTGTGTGGTATTTGATCAGAGCGATTGCCAGATGCATGCTGATAATAATTTCCAGGTTCCAAGATGCACGAAACAAAGCTGTTACTTACAGGGTGAGCGTGACAGACCCTAGCAACATCTTCACAAGACGCTCCATACTCCATAGCTAACACTGCTTCATTGATTAATTCACCAGCAACCTGAAATAATTTGCTTCTATTAAGTCCCAATGACAGTCTATTAAAAACTTACTACAAAAGGTTACTTTTACTTTGATAGTGTAAGTGCATCTAAATTTTCAAAGATATATAAGAATTGATCATACAGAAAATCAAATCTTATAAGTAGGAGGCAGATTTTAATGGTCTTTTAAATTAAATGGATTTCCTATGTTTACAATGTTGTTATAAGTTTCTTTTTCAATTTTTAGACGTTCTGATGCTGACCAACAAACATCAAAATTCGATCCGATTTTTACCAATTCAACATAGGTTATATAAAAGAAATTACTTATCAGATTTGTTTGACAATAAATAAATAAATAAATAAATAAGTAGTTAAGAGGTTTATCTAACAAATAAGTATATTAGTATTACCACAAACAACTAAAGCCCAGATTACATTTGCCATACAATGTCTGTTCAGTGCTAGCGTACTGCCAGTAAATCCCTTTTTATGTGGTGGCTGTGCAGAGGCATATGGTGACTGTGCAACTCTTACAGATCCACAGCCTCGATAGCCACTACAATTTTGTCAAGCAAAAAAAATTTGGATTCTATCACAAAAACCTTGCATATGATTATACAGTGCAAGTGGCAAATGTAATCTTGGCTTAAAAACATCAGCAATCTACTTACAGAAGCAATTATATGACATCCCAATAACCTATCTGTCTCCTTGTCTCCTAGAACCTTGACAAACCCATCTGTGTCATAAAACGGTAAAATATTCCACTTATCGTGTTATCGCCGAGTGCACAGCGACGGCGACAGTGATGACAGGCGCAGGTGACGGCTATATGTACAGACACATCTGTGTCTGTACATGCAAAATGAACGTAGTGTTGTCATCTTTATCCAGTGTTTTAGGTTTCCAACATGCAGATGAAAATAACTAGAAAACTTTCAGAACACTGTAATTGCGCTTAGGCCTGTCAGTGCTTCATAAATCAACAAAAAATATGCAGGGCAGAATTTGAATTAGACTAATTTAATTGAGTTTTAAAAAATTCGATCAATAATCTATATCTGTTGCAACATTTTATAAAATGGGATGCAAAGACAAAGTTTTGACAATACCACAATAACGCCAATGCCACACAAAATTTATCATTCAGCGTTAGCAATGTGTGGCAAATCATACTCCACAAAACTTAAGGAAATTAAATTATTTCCCTAAGGAAGTCTAGCACTGACACAAAACACTTCAGTGCATATATAAATATAATTTGTGTCGTTGGTCAACTGCTCACTTGTATATCTTAAAATTTACTTGCAGTCTTTTCAATACTTCATTATTAAAAAATGTTACTGAAATTTTACTTTATTTTATGTGATACTGTACTTCGTTCTTGGGGTTAGGCATGGTAGTAATGAAAGCAGGTTTTTTTTCCTGCTGATGTTACCACATCTTCTATTTTATCACACAATGAAATGGTGATTTTGATTTATGTTCAGATATTTATCCAAGCAGGTTGTGGTCATCCAATAATAATGACAGCAGCTGCAGTAATTGCAGCAAATTATTATCCATTATGGGTAAAATATCATATGCAGCACAAATGCACAGTTCTGCTGCCTTTTGGAAAGATATTGAAACAAAATGTTAGGAAAGAAATCTGCTTCCTGACATCCTTTATGTTTGAGATTTAATGTTTCTGTTGATGCTGTTGCCAGTTCCTTATATTCTAATCTTTGGTCTTTGTTTTTTGTCAGCAAACTTCACTTCACAATAGAAAGGAGATAATTTTTCAGTCTGTCTCTTCAATATATCAAAAACAAAGGTGTATATTTCACGTCTGGCCTCAGTTTCCCCCTAATTGCTGACCTCTCCCCCAGGGGCGACCCCCTCCTGCTCCGCCATCATCTCTCCGCCGACTTTCTGGGGCCATTCCAAATCCTGCCACACCCCCTCTGCGGTTAGGAAACCATTTATAGCTGAAAAACAAACATAGACTTAATGAAGATTTATAAAGGGTTTTAAGAAGGAATGCTTACAACAGTACACAAAAATGTATCTGTATGATGATGCATGCTTCTACAAAAATAAATAAATAAATATATAAATAAAAAAATAAACAAATAAGAAGTTATAATAAGCGATGACTGTAAGACATGGATGGTGGATTTGTACATTAATATTGAACTGGGCTTACAGTACGGCAAATGCTTTCATGTGTAACACTTACAATATTTCTGGTGTGCTTAAAAATCTTCTGCCACCAAAGTCTTGTGGATATTTGAACATCAGGAAGAAGTACAGGTGGCCCACTATGATGCCTATGATGTCCTGAACACCTCTGGAAAGAGAAAACTAAGTTATGAACTCAAAAATATCAAACTCGACAATAAAAACATTGAAACTGGATGGTTATAAAATCTAAGCTTTTTTTCCAATTAAACATGTAAATATCAAAACATTTGGAGAGTCAGTCAATGCAGAGAAAAGATTTTCACTGCATTTATCATTGCAGTTGATTTTATAAGTGTTAAGGAAATAAATGTCTTTTGATTTGAACAATAGTAGGGGATTGAGGCTGTCTTCTGGGTCTCCTGGAAGACGGTCGGATGTTTCAAGTTTATATTGATAGGCATCTAATTTTGTCTGTCAGAAGATGGTCAAAAATGGAAGATGGATCAACAAAGATAATTTGAAAGACTGTCAGAAAATATCCCTGGATCCACCCAGAATGGTCACCATCAAGTGGAGAAATAAGACATTTTTCGATCACTCAGCACCACTTACCCTCCACGAATTATCATGTTAAATGCCAGTAGCACCCACGGCAAGTACATAGCCTAAAACGAAAAATACACACATATCAATTAACTTTATTCAGATGAAAGTAAAACAAAAGTTTTATGTGTTTGCTATAAAAAAGTGGTGTTTTGTATGGAAATATTTCCTTGCTAACTGGTTACTGTTCATTTGTTGCCATTTTTTTCAAACTGGACTCAGCTTATTAACATAAAATAAGAGTAATATTTTTACCTCATATGGATGAAAGACAAGACATGAAAGAGCTAGAATAACAGAACCCATCATACCTTGAATTGTGTCCCAAACCAGAAGGATACAATCTGATCTCTGTTCAGTTGACACCAGATGTAGAGCACACTCATCACCATGGGGTCCATTAGTAACTGGAAAAATATTTTTTCATAATGATTTAAAACGAGAAAGAATTGAAGTTTTTTTGTTATTTAGTATTATGATAGTAATTCTTTACTGAAATGAACAACTGACTTTTGAAAATGAATATTTCACAAAAACTACTACAATAACTATTACTACTGCTACCTATTAAAATAATAATAAATAAATCCATTATAAATACTTACTGGTAATCCAATTATAAAACCAATCAGCTGTAGAGCAAAGTCAAGGAATGTATAACATAAAGATTCTAAACAAAATAATTTTAAACTGAATGAAGCAGTGTGAAAAATCACAGAATGCTGATAGTGAAAAAATAACAATATTCACAGTTCAAGTGTGTGTGTGTGTGTATGTGTGTGTGGATGGGGGGGGGGGGGGTAAAACTTGTTAAAAAAAGAAGTCAAGTCAAAACAGTTGACTTTTATACTGAAAGGATACCACCAGGCACAGCCAGTTGAAAACTAACAGGAATAAATAATCTGCAGGTTTTCCATCAAATAGACCTGTAAATATAAACAAATCATTGGTGAATTCAGTCATGAACAAGGCAATTATCACATTATAATACATTTCTTAACAAGCAAATGATTGTATATTGCAAATCATCAAGATTTTTTTATTAACTTTTCCTTAAAAGTTTGTGACTGACTTCGATGATTTTTTCACAACTCTGATAGTTGCAATGCATCAAATGTCTACTTTCACACACACACACACACACACACACACACACATCACCTGTTTCAAGTCTTGTGGAATAGGAATATAAGAAGTAGAGTAAAATGAGATATTCACCTGTTTCAAGTCTTGTGGAATAGGAATATAAGAAGTAGAGTAAAATGAGATATTCACCTGTTTCAAGTCTTGTGGAATAGGAATATAAGAAGTAGAGTAAAATGAGATATTGGAATCCTGTGGCGGGTGAAAGAGGGAAGTAAAACAGTGCCGTCACTGGCCTCCAAATCTGAAATCAAATAATTGAAAGTATGCTATATTACGGGGAAGAAACATCATGCATATATTTAAGTATCATTCTGACCATTGATAACTGAGTATAAAGAAGTAGTAATTTAATTCTATCAAAGTGAAGTAACAAATACCTTATCCTCACATTTGTGACATCCCAAATACTAAACAATTGCTTGGAAAATGAATGGGATATTTTGCCTGAAAATTACATAAACGAGGGAAATGGATATTTGGAATTGCTACTTACGTGAAAATGATGAAATACGGCATAATAATCCAAGATCATCGTCATAGGCGAGAAAACACCGAATCTTCCCAGCAAAGGAAGAACAACTGAGCCAGTGAACCAGTACCGAGTCATTTGGGGGATACCCCTATACCAGTCTCCTAAGTCATTTGACGCCATTATTTCTGGCTGTTTAGTTCACCAATGTCTCCGCTATTTCTTGCACTTATTTGGTTGTTACAATACCGCTACCTTGTCTGATGAATTCGCAAAATAAACGATGTAACACTGACTGATGACTTTCGATTAGCCTGACGTGTCTGAAGCCTCTTTTTCACACGACCTAGATATTAGATTTTCATAAAACAAGGATTAGACAATCATTTGTTGAATGAAATAATAATCAAAATTTTTCTTCAAGCTGTATTTAAAAAATTGAAAAACTAATCAATTACTATAATATTGCTACCTAAATCACAATTGTAACATTGGTTTCGATAGTTGTTGTGTTGCAGAAAACCTTTCCGGTTGGAAGTTTAGCTTTTCAGATTTCCCTGGAAAGCGCCATTTTGGAATATTTGTAAACAAGTCGGTTCAGAAACTTAGGTGAGAAGTAGCTTTCTTGAGGACCTGTTCCTGACGTTGTAATGCTATTAAAATAATCCATATGATCTTAAATGATAAAATATATTTCACTTAACATTGTGTATTTATTTTATTTTATTTATTAATTACTCTCTCTCTCCGTGTGTGTATGTGCTCGCGCGAACATGCATTATTTATGTACAGGACAACAATTAAATAACATAACTGCCGACAAGAGAATTTATAAATGAACTGCTAGTCAAAACTTCCTTTTTCAGCATGTAAATCAAGTGGTTGTTGGTCCTCAACATGGCTCTGCAAACATTGGACCTGTGTAGGAAAGAGTCGGGGAAGATATGGCAGAGAAAACCTGTTCCTTCCACTGATGATGGGTGAGAGGAATGATACATAGATGGATAATTGGATAAATGAATAAATTGAAAAAAAAAATGTCTTATGTTGGAGCCTAGTTTATGTATCTAAATAAATGAATGAAAAAAAATCAATAGATTTATATAAACTAGAAAGATGACATATGATGCATTTTTAATTATAATAAAAGTTGGTTCAAAGTGCTAAATTCTGTTATAATCTGTCTTTTTCTGAAAACTTAGAAAAATACAATATATATGATCTGTATAGGCAGGGTTTTGGGCTACAGTATGCCATTGTATATGATATGATTTTCAAGGATCTGAAGATTCAAAATCCCCTTTCCCTTTCCTGTTCGCCCCCATGCAGTGTCATGGTACACATCACTCACAGTGTGTCCAGTCCACTAGCTCTGCAGTCTAGAAACATACGCTTCCTCCATGTGGCCTTTGACACAACAGGAGATCGCTTCGTGGCAGGAGATTACCAAGGAAACATGTTTGTCTTTGATCTCAGCAGAAACAGGTAACATGTAGGCAGAGCCCCTGTTTTACCAGGCATGTGACAACTAAGTGATCAAAATTTTTCTTACTTTCACCCATTTCAAAGTTGGGTTTTGACAATATTTGATAGTGAATAATTCATATATCAATGTTTATGAAATATAATAAATTTTGCAGCCTTTTGTTACATATTTGTGAGAGTGGACCAGAAGCGTGATTGAATAACTTTATTTCTTGAATTGTAACATGTCTATAGTATTTTTATTTTTTCCTTGTGGTATGTTTTTGTAATAATTTTCTAATTTGCAAGAAAACATAATTGCTTTTTAGTAAGTTTTTATTATGGTAATAGAAAATGCCACCATACTTTTATGTTCATTCAATACTTTGTTCAACTTTTTGGACTCCAAGTAAATTGTCTACTTTTCCCAGTGTTTAAATTGCGATGATCCTTAAAGCAATCAAACCTCATATCAGTGTAAGCTTATTTTATCAATTATATATACATATATAGTAACAGTTAGAATGTTTTCAGAGTATTTTAATAAAAATATGTTTCTCCTCCAGGTACTCTCTGGTCCAGCGTACAGGGACTCCATGTTCCTCACTGGCTTTTACTTTAAAAAGAAGAACAGAGTTTCTGGTCGGGATGTCTGACTATTCCCTGAAGTGTTATGATATAGGTATAAGCATTTTCTTTACATTCTTAGCAACAAATTAATCTTATTTGGACAGTTTGATAATTGTTACCTGTGAAAATACACTCAAAGTCTTAAGTTTCTATTGATTGAAGTTTATCCACTGTATGGCAGGGTTAATGCTTAGTGTGAAAATTTTATTTTTTTAATGAAAATATTTTTCTCGTGATATTAAAATGATATACCATTATATTGTGTCACATATATAAACATTACCTATTGATAAACTGTGCCTAAAGTTGTTTAAGATCTGTGTTCACCGTGATTGGTGGGCCTCAGAAAACTACCGGTCTGAATCAAAGTTTACCAGTCCCAAGGTGAAATCTAAATAGTAAATTAATGGAAAATGCTCCAAAACAAGCACCAAATTTTTCACATATCTGTTCAGGTTTATTTTAATGCCTTAGAAAACATGACATTGTGTCTTTTTCGCAGTTTGTGACTCTGATGCTCTATTTACTGGTCAGTAAGTGTAGACCATTGGCAATTGTTGCAAATTTATACATTTTCCCCCTTGTTGTAATCAGATACCAGAGAGCTTGTTCCCTGCATGAGTCTCCTATACACACCATATCTATTAGGCCACTACCAGTGGCAAATGTTGCTGACAAAGATATTGTTCTCCTTTGTTGTAATCAGATACCAAAGAGCTTGTAGCCTGGATGAAGGGTCATGAGTCTCCCATACACACTATATCTATCCATGCCTCTGGACGTTACGCGCTGACCTCCTCCAACGACACCGCCCAGCTCTGGGACCTGGACACTTTTCAGAGGAAGAGGAAGTTGAACATCAAGGAGAATGTTGGGATTGTTAAGGTGTGTGTTGTCGTGATCAAACAGATACTAGTTCATAAATGAAAATTATCACACACTATCTTGTCAGATAGATCGCCCCCCCCCCCTCCCCCAACCCCCATCTCTATTCATGGGTGGCTGGTGCTGGCTGAAGTTGTGACATTTATAAGAGGGTCCTGGCCGCTATACCACCTAGCAGCCAGTGAGAAACAACATCTACTCACATCAGTCTGGTGAAGGATATGTCCAGGTTGGTCATAAGCTAATGATTTGAAAGATTTTTGGCTTGTGTTTGATAAGTTATTTATGATCCAACTACCAAGCTAATGAACATTTTTGCTCAGGTACTAGTTGTTAATTATAACCATGGCAGTGAACACGACATCTCTTTTCTCTATGATGAAATAGTGGAGATATGATAACATATAGATTACCTACTTCTTGGCTTTGCCAGCCTGGTTATCCATATTTATTACAAGACACCCTGCCCACAAATGATTGGTAGTAGAGAGAGTTAGGTCAATTATTGATACAGATATCAGTCTCAAAACTTACGTTATTTTGTTATCAAAGACTGGAAGATATGTGTGCAGAATTTCTTTGAAACATTTTTCCCTTTATTTTTAATTTCTTATATTTGTTTGCAGGTGTTTTTCCTTCCACTGAGTAACACCATCATGACCTGCTTTAAGGATGACTCCATCTTTGCCTGGGAGGCCGACACCCTGAACTGCAAGTACCAGTTGCCTATTCCCCCTGGGAATGCTCCACACTATAAGGCCTTTGCTGCCACTAAGTAAGTACCAGCAATTATTCATAAATAAAACACTTTCCTTTTGGCAATGTTTTATTTTTTCAATATTTGCTTTTAAATTCTTAGTGGCATAAGAAAGTCACTTAGTACTCCTAGGTTCGCTCCTTAAACCATCCAACTGTCTTTGAAAATACAGGCCATTTTTTGAGGCCATTGGCTATCCAAATCATGACTAGATGGCTCTCTGGGGAAAGCCTTTATTACATAGTAAACAACACAGTTGTTATGTATAAATTGTCTTACTAATCTCCCAGGAACGGCAGACTACTGGGGGTTATGGGGGGGGGGGAGTCTTTATTACACAGTAAACCACAGGGTTGTTGTATATAAATTGTCTCCTCATCCTCCAGGGATGGCAGACTGCTGGTGGCGGGAGGAAAGTCCAGGTTTCTCCATGTGTGGACACTGGACACCAGGCGTCTACTGAGGATAATACAGCTTCCCGCCAAGGTCACCTCAATGAAGGAGATGGAGTTCTTGCCTGATAAGTTTGATGCTGGTTCCAGTCAGGTATGCTTGGTTTATTTTAAATTATTTACTACTGCAATGAAAGAGTTATGAAGAAGTTTGAAAGAATTGCACTCAATTTTGCTCGGAGAATTATCATATGGTGTTTTTCCAAAATTTTTCTAATTCCAAAATGAAATCATTTAAATTATTCAGGCAATTCAAAAGTAATACAGTTTATCATATTCACAATTCAAATATGAAACCATTTTAAATTTATCATTCTTACAATTCAAATATAGGACCATTTTCATTATTTTCACATTTATTCTGAAACAATTATTTTGAAATGCATCATTTTCCCCCTACCCCACATTTACCTTCTCTCTCCTCTCCCCTAGGTCCTGGGTGTCCTCAGTCAAGACGGCATCATGAGGTTCATCCACATCCACACCTGTAAACTGCTGTTTGACCTGGGCAGTGTAGGTGACAGAATCAACACCATGGCTATGTCTCCTACTGGACACCACGTGGTCGGAGTGATGGAGGACGGGAATCTTAATATATACAGTGTACAGGCACTGACTGCAGAGTTAAATAAGGCAAGTGATACAGGGGGAGGATTGAGACCGTCTTCTGGGTCTTCTGGAAGACTCAGATTTTCAAGGTTATACCGTCGGGTATCTAATTTTCTCTGTTGGAAGACAGTCAGAAATTGAGGATGGATCAACAAGATAATTTGGAAGACTGTCAGAAAATATATCTGGATCAGCCCCTGTGATATGGATGCTCTTTGTCTTATGAAGTTTAAGGATGCTTTTTATCTAAAGACGTCCTTGTTTATCTGTATACGTTGACACTATGTTCATCCACAAGACTTTCCAAATATCCTGCTAAATGTTGCATTTTTTCACTCAATGGTAAATCCAAATAATCTTTGGAAGGAGGTTATAACTGATTTCGATACAGCTGCAACACATACAAGAAAGTATCTCGTGAAAAAACAAAGACAGGACAGTGCTGAAAAGTCTTGATGTGTGAGATTATTTTTGTAACACTCTGTTAATTGACTTATTTCCAGCCTCCTCCCCCGTTGGTGTCAGTGGTATCATCTCAGAAGAAGCAGGAGACAGGGGATGTCACATCATCGTCGCAGGCAGACATGACCCAGGGGAAACGAGCTTCCAGGTTAAAACGTAAAGCCCGCTTGGCTCAGGGCAGCGAGGTGTCGGCTGTGGATGTGAAACCAAAGAAAACTAGTCATGAACAGGTAGGTAGGGTGGGGTGAGGTGGGGTGGGGTGAGGTGAGGTGGGATGGCTGGGGTAGGGTAGGGTAGGGTAGGGTGGGGTGAGGTGTGGTGGGATGGCTGGGGTGGGGTGGGGTAGGGTTGGGTGGGGTGAGGTGTGGTGGGATGGCTGGGGTAGGGTAGGGTAGGGTGGGGTGTTGTGTGGCAGTCTTTGTGTGCCTGAGTTTTAACCTGGGGGTTCAGATGTGGATGAAAATGTCTTTACCTTTGGAAAATTTGCTCCTTCTTTTTCTGCGTGCAGACTAAAATGTGAAACCTAATTGGAATTTGTATTACTTATTCATAAATTTGAAATGCAGTGTAAGAATGGGACTTTTTTCATTTTAATTTGTAAACATTTTCTATTTTTTTATCCCAGCCCAAACATTTACCTTGTATTCATGTAGTATTATGGCTCTGCGATCACTATGTTACTCTGGAAATCTGAGCTCTTATACGAGCTCTTATACGTCCACTAATTGTTGTTACATGTAAATGGGTGTATTTTCTCAATTTGATATCGTAACAGGTTGGACTACCTGAGGGCCTGAACATGGATAAACTGATGGCTATATTGAGGGGCTATGGAGAGTATCCAGCTAAATATAGGTAACAATATGTGGCCATACGGACATTGAAATTGATGTGTAATATTGAAATTAAATTTAAAAAATGTGGGGCTTGGTTTTGAAAATTTTCTGGACTATTAAAGCTGCCCCAAGTGTCACCTGTTTCTGTGCTAATAATCTTATGTGTTCATTCCTGCATTTGATATGTTTAGGATTCTCAGTTTTTTTGTGAGATAGACAGTTCTTTAAATTTTAAAGAGAAAAAAATGAGTTTCAAAAGAATAGTTAAGGTACTTTTGGTTTATGTAAAAAGAATTATAAGCTAAATACATACATTATTTTATGTCCAGGATGTTTATCTGGCGTTCCATCTTGCGGCTACCAGAGAACCACGCAGCGTATGCCTCCCTAGTAGACAAGGGCACGCACCCGGCGTATGAAAACATACATGAGAAGTTTCCTATCAAGAGCAGAAAATTGTTGAGAGTGCTGCAGAGGTCAGATTTTACAAACATTTTGGTTTGGACCGTATATTTTTGCATTGTTTTCATGTAAACAATTATGAAACTAAAAATTAAATACTTTCATAATGAAAGATATTGTATTGGAAACAGTTAATAATGGTCATTTTTATCTTCTAAGTCATCTTCATTTTGTATGTGTTGTGTTAAAGAATTGCAAAATAATCAATATTTCTTTCTGTACATGATATTTGAAATGAACATTTAAAAAGCACAGTATCTATTAATTGGAATTCTACAGGTGCATTACCTCATGTTTCTGACACACTTTCAGAACCCTGTCGGCGCTCTCTCACTGGTCGGCCATCTTTGGTGAGATGGACTACCTGCCTCTCCTGACCTTCCCCTTTGTGAAGCTGTTCCAGAATAACCAGTTAGTGCTGTTTGAGATCATAGCAACTGTCCTAGGTAAGGCATTATACATACTGTGCTCTCTCATTATAGTCTTAATGTCAAAAGTTGTTGGTGTTAAGTTATAAGTTGATAAGAGAAATGAATTAAGCATAAAAGGTATAGACATTTTATTGTATTGTAGTCTTTTAATGTCTCATTTTGTTTTGGTTTTGTTTTAAATCGGATCTTAGTAATGCATGAACCAGGAAGAAGTCGGGATTAAAAGATGGATGATATTAGATACCAACTTTTTTCCTGTGACTTAATTTAGTAGCAGTGGCAGTTTGATAAGCAGCTGGTAGAAACTGGAGACTTGACTCTTGTTATCCAAGTTTTGTTACATAAATCAGAAAATAAAAGCATCACTGGTCTTTTTCAGTAAACTGGTGTCAGCACTGGTTTGAGTTCTTCCCCAACCCTCCCATCAATGTTCTGGGGATGGTGGAGAACGTCCTCGCCTTTCAGGACAAGGAGCTGCTCCAGCATTTTGTCAAGTACGGCGTCACCTCACAGGTCAGTGGGCTCATTCCCAAAGAAACTATCGTTTTACGAAGACTGATCCAACTCTGTGGATACCTTTGCTGAATTCAATCAGGTGTAAAGATTAACATGCCTCCACTTGTTTCCATTTTACTTGTACAACTACCGGCTTTTCTGTATTCTTCTTAACGCCAGGAGGAGGCATGTTAATCTCTTAATCAGATTGAATTCATTGCTACTGAGATCAAGCTCTAAAAGAGATGAGTCATTTGGCGGGGTTGCCCTGACACCTAATAAAACCTTAATTGATCTATATTCATGTGAGTCTTAATTGAAACAAGTTTAGTTTTTGCATTGAAGTAAACATTTTTCTCTTCAATTCAATTTTGACTGTTTATCTTGCTGATATCGTGAAAATGAAAAATTCTTTCTTTATTTCTTGTGCTTCTGTTTACATTCAAAGTAAGTTTAATATCTATTTTTCTATCTAGACAGTTTTAAAGGAGATCAAGTCTTTATGTAGTCAGCTTTATCTTCAATTTGAAAAGAGATTATGTGTCTTAATTATCTGAATTGTAATTGGTATTATCAATCAGTCCCATTATTTTGTCAGATCTATGCGTGGCCCGTGCTGGAGACGCTTTTCTCTGAAGTACTTACCAAGGATGAGTGGTTACGACTGTTCGACAACGTGCTCAGTAACCACCCCGCATTTCTCCTCATGTGCGTGGTGGCATACTGCACGGCATGCAGAGGACCTTTGTTACAGTGTATAGAGTTTGATGATTTTAAGGTATTTTGTGTGACAGTGTATGTGTATGGTAAAATAAATGAATTTTAGTCACTGAATTTAATGTTTTGAATAATTGTTACATTAATTGTAGTTAATAAGAGTAATAGTCAGATATAAGAACTTAATATTCAATGTATTACTACACCAACCTTTTTATGGTGCAGTTGACCAATGATTGATAAGTCTCATCCTTTTCACTCTTAATGTCTCAATATTTCTATACACTCTGTAAATTTTTTTTGATAAACAAAATAATGTTAACAAACCATCTTTTCCCCCTTCAGTACTTCTTCCACCACCGTAATGCCGTGGACATAGGGGACGTGATTAAAGAAGCGTATAGGATTCAGGAGACCACCCCACCTGACGTCCACCCTGAGAGGATGCTGGACACGTTCCAGCCACTGACCAGGGGACAGTACCCAGTGTTTAATAAATATCCCAAGTTTATTGTGGACTATCAGGTACATTTGTGTCAAGTGATGTGATTGGTTCTGTACGTTTGTGCCAGGTGTTGTGATTGGTTCTGCAAAGATGTATCATATTGAGTAAGTCAGGGGGAGATGGGTCTCTCACGTCTCACATTATAATGTGACAGCTGCTTACTTTTAGATTGTCGGTGTGAACATGACTGCAAAGTTTGCAGTGCATTCATGAATTTATCCAGAGTGTGCTTATTTTAACTATTCTTTTTACAACAAGCTACTCTCTATCCTCAGTTTTATTTCTAAGGGTGCCTCGCACTATGTAAAAAATTCACTCTGATAGGTTTCTTCGATGGAGTTCCTATATTTTACCCACAGTAGATGTTGTTTGTTTAATTTTAAGCTTAATTTTATTTTGAATCCCAATCTATTCAGAAAAGATAAATGATTAGCTAAAAATTACCTGAGGATAAAGTGCAGCTTTAATTGATATTTTAAACTTTGGTTTTAGATAAATGTTTAAAATCGTGATCTTATGAATAAGAGTTAAATTCAATCTAGGTTCAAGAAAGAGAAAGAATTCGTGAGGAAGAACTGGAGTACCTGCGACAGCGGCAGGTGTCTCTTGAGCTCCAGAAAGAGACTGAGCGTCGTCAGCAGGAGGAGGCTGCATGGTACAGACAGCAGGAGCTGCTTCTGGAGGCGGAGGAGAAGAGGAGGAAGATGATCTCAGAGGAGGAGGAGAAGCTTTATGAACAGAGGTCAAGGTAAGAATTATTATTAGGACAGACAAATGAATGGTGTCTCACAGTAAACAAGATCAGCTTAATCTTAGGGTCATTAGGTAGAAAATATAGGTGGTAAAATTTTGATTTTCTCATAATTAGGGTACCTAACAGATGTATAAATTTTTATCTGACCTTACATTACAAATTAAGTAAGGTAAATATGTAGGTCTTATCACCATAACCATGCAAATGAGAATTCCTACTTGCTATAATACTTTGGGATGGGGAAGAGGGGTAAATTTTTTCATGATGTATAAGTTTGAAGAAGGAGCTATTTTTTAGATTTTATATTTCTGTGGAAGTTTGCTGACATAGAAAAGTTAAATTAGACTTCACGTTATAGCAAAAAGCTTTTTCTTACATTGAGAGAGATGTTTTAACGGTAACTTAAGAATTAGTAGAACTAAAAAAAAAAACAGCAAACATAATTATGAAAGGCATAGTGCTTTAAGAAAAGTTTTATATTTTATTTGAAGGCTTCAGGCCATGAATCGTGAAGTAAAGATGAAGGAAATGAAGCTGCTTGATGCCACAAGAAGAAAATACATGAATTATCAGCAGAAACAGAGGACATCAGAAATCAAGAGACTGGATGATGAAATACAGAGAAAGGTATCAGAAAAATTGTGGTTTGGCAAACTGAAGTAGTCTGATGTATTCAGTTTTAGTCAAAGTATGGAGATGTTTCCTTTTTTCCTTTGACCAAAAGTAAGTGAAAGATATTGTATGATAAGATACATAAAGATGGAAGTAAAGTTAATGAAGTAAAGAAAGAGGAAGAAATGAAGTGAAGTAAATATCTTTAAAATGTAACATCATATTTTAAAAGGATTTTCCATTCAGTTCTTTGACCTTTGTACACAAGTGAATATTTTAGTAAATAAGTAAATCCATAATTTCTAATGATAATTATATCCATACAAGTCCACATTGTATTGACTGGTCCCTCACATCTCCTCTATATATGTCCTTACCCTAGGCTGCTATGAGGGAGATGGAAACTCAGCATGCAGTGCAGGAAGCAGAGATAAAAAATCTGGAGTTACAGCTCCAGAAGAAAATGTTTGAACAGGTAAAACAATGTCATTGTTAAACACATGCAAAAACATAAGAACAGAAAACAGTTTGAAAAAAAATGGCTGATGTTAAGTGTGCATTTAAAATTGAGGTCCTGTGTTGTCTAAGATGCTAGTCAGTACTATGCTGGTTATTTGCCCATAGGATTATGTGTTCACAGATAAGTATGCAGCAATTTCATATATTATTGTTATCACAGGAATTATACAGAGAGCATGCAGAGACCACCCAAAAACTACGCTCTGAGTATGACGCCTTCAGGAAACGCCAGGAAATTGAAGATAGGGGACAGCACCGTGTTAACCTGGCAGAGCGAGAGAGGGAACAGGAAATAAGGAGGGTAAGTTTTCGTACAGATAAATAGATGTCAGCAGCAGTATCATGTATGTAGATGTTTAAAGGGTTTGTCCTGGTCATTTCTATCTTTTGTAGCAGTATGTAAATGTGCTACAGGTTGAAATATTACACTTATCACATTGACTTTTATTGAGTAACTAGAACATTATGAAAATGTTGTAATTGTACCACCAGCGTTAGCGCTGGCGGTACACATGGTTTTAGTCCCGTCCGGTCCGTTCCGCCGGCTCCTGCGTCTCCGCCGCCATGTTACCGTTACCGCTTCTCCTCCTAGACGGTAAGGGCCCCCATACCCATCTCTTGGATTTAGGTCACCTATAATCTCAACTCGTTCCACGTAAAATTTGGGCCTTGTCGGTATTGGAGTCTAGGTGTGGCACTCATTGCAATGCACCCTTGTCCAAAAATGGCAAAATTAAATGCTAATTATCTACCCTACGGAAGGAATTATGGGAAAAATTTCTACAGACGGCTTTCCAAAAGTCATATGTGTAGATTTCAAATATNTCTGATCCTCTAGTTAAAGAATTTAGAACCAGTTGTACAACCATTATGTGTCCCTATGATTTATTTTGGTCACTGATGTTGATTACTGTAACAGTCACATGAATGCTTAGGGCACCAGCTGTTGTATCCAGTTGTCTGCAGCATTGTGCTCAGCAGTCTGAGCTCGGTCTCAATTAGCGCAATATGTAGTCACATCTCACTCTGTCTACATTTGACAAAGTTTTATACCCTGTCACACTGTTTTCATGTATCGTCAACAGCCTGTGACGTTAACCAATGGCCCCACTGCCAATGCTGGCAAAATTAGGACCAGTCCAGTGGATTTTTCTGAAAAACAGTCAGTGACTGGCCTGACCCAGCCAGTGAATTTTTTCAGCTGTGACTTGCACTCTAATCTGTTTTATATATGTTGAAGTCTTTTTTCAAACATTTTTTAACATTTTGAAACCACAGGTTTTTGTTCTTATTTGTAATAGAAAGCCTGTGTAATTTCCATGTTTTAAATTTAGTAAAAATTTTTTAAAAATTGGACTTTGGGCCAGTGAATTTTGGTTCAGGGCTTTAAGTTCTCAGACTCTGGTGGCCTGTAAGTTGAAAAGCATTGGTACAGACTGCGTCAGTGTTTCACGTTTCCCATAGTGCCAGTATATACATGTGACATTACATATCACGTCTGTGATATCCAAGCAGGTAGCTGGTTTTGTTTTCATAGTTCATCGACCGTTTGCATTCATCAGGACAGGCTGATTGAAGAGTATGTGTTATAGAGGATCAGTTTTGGGGGATAAAACTAGTTAGTACCACCAGCGAATGCGCTGGCAGTTTTCAGGGTTTTAGAGCTGGCCCCTCTTGTACGGTTCCAACAGCTCGGCATTCTGGCGCCGGATGGAAGTCACTGTTACTGCTTCTCCTCCTTATATATTATATGTACAGACAATAAAAAGGCAAATATATTGAAGACTGTAGGACTGTATGATTTGGTTATTATTCAAAAACGAGTTAACTGTGCTAGGATTTTGATGTCTGAACAGAGAGTCAATAAAAAAAAAGAGAGGGGGAGAGATCAGGATCTGATACTATGGATGTATAAATGTAAAGCAGAAAATCAATCTTGAAACAACAAACTGAAATGCTCTAGGACACGTAGGTTTGTGTTTTGGGGGGATAAAATCAATGCCATCTAAAATAGGAAAACATGCTCTCTAAAAGCTTTTATAGAACAATGAGCAGAACTAAAATAGTTGTTTCTGGATATTGATGGACTTGATGTGAAGGTACACATTTGTTAAGTATTTTCATGTGTAGTAACTTTTTGCAAAAAAAAAAAAAAACTTACTGTTCCCAACTTTTGCAAGGTTTCTGTTATTTGATTGCTATCTTACTCATTTCATTTTTCTCTCTCACTCACAAAAATTACAAATCTGTTGAGAAACCAACTCAGTTTTATTAAGAAATTTATTACCATTTATTTTCTTTAGAAATTTGTTACCATTTATTTCAAACATTACAAAATTAATGGGACATTGTCTTAAGAAATACAATAAGTTTTTGCTCAAATCTGTTAAGTGCATGTTAACAGTGTGTGTAAAGTAAATACAGATACATGTCAATACTTTGAAACAACAGATGTGTAGGAGAAAAGCAAAGAATACAGGAAATTTGTTTTTACGCCAAATATTAGTAGTTACTGATTTAGAATCATATTGCATTTACAGCGAGTATTTCAACCTTTTTTTAATCTGACAATAATGTTGACATGCACATGCATTCTTAGCAACCGAGGCCTTTTTCATTTTTAAGACCTTTGAAACTGAATAAAATTATATCATTTGATAGAAATTCATGAAATGGCTTATTAGATTTTCATAATGATTTAGTGCCTAAACAGTTATGTAATACTATGTTAGTCATGCTAAAAAAATAGATAATTATTCTTAGGCATCAGACTAGATGAGTTAGTAAATCAATAGTAAATCAACAGTAAATCTGATAAGTAAGTATTGTTATGTGCGCCAGAGATAATGATAACTGTAAGTTAATTTATGAGTATTTTCCAAACTAATTATCTGATTGTTGTTCTTTAAGCTCCCATAAAACTTTTCACAAGGAACATCCAGGGTTGCTAGTTTTTACAAAAATATTGGTTTTATTTGATTCCTCTTTGTTTTCTGGTGTAAATCTGGAGTAGTTAACAACATAGCACACCTGGTGACCTCATTTTAGAACTATGAACTCTTCAGTTCTGAGGACAATATTTTCAAATGAAGTAGTTTATATTCCGTTATTAATCCCATGTTTCTTCCAAAGTTCAGAAAAGTAAACTAGTTGATCTACGGTAATTGCTCACAAGTTTCACACTCTTCACCAATTCCAAATATTTTGTATTATTTCAAGATTCTTGAGTTTTAGTTTAGCACAAAAATCTACCTTACTTGAACTGAAATGGGTTTTCAGAGTTTCCCATAATTTTTCCAACTCTTATGGCCAAACTGTGAAGCTGGGCAGTATATAATAATTTTTCTTCAAAATTATAGGGACATTACAGCACTTATTGGGACAGGTAGTTTATGGATCCGTGTACCCAGACCCCCTTATCCACCCCTAGATACCATGCATAATAAATACTATTGGGTAAAAATAACAATAGATTTGCCTTCAATAATTAACCAATGAAGTCAATAGCTTGTGCCTTTGATGTAAAGGTTTATTTTATTGTCCATATTTCTCCTGGGTTTTGTGTGTTTGCTTGATAATGTGGTGAAGTAGACAGCTGACTGCTGGGGCAGTGTAATTATAGTAGCAAATATAAAAGGCTTGTTTTTTTTCATCGAAAAATCATTTGGGTAGAAAAAGGCAACTTAGCATTTCTGATTGATCGGGTCTTTAAGCCTTTTTTTTCAATCTTACTTTAGCGTGTGTCGTTATATTTTGTGGGTTTTGAATTGATTTTCTTTAAAGAAGCAAACCATAAGAAACAGAATACACTTTTTTATTTTGTGGTGTAACAGAGCCCATATTGATTCATACTATGGTCTACTTCATGTTAATTCAATAGAAATGTGAGAAAAAACACAAACTGTTTATGGAAATTTGTAAAGAAATCTTTCATCTTCTTGAAAGCACTGCCATTTTATCCGATTGATTTTTTTTTTCTTTTTTTTTTGGTGCACTTTATTTTGGTGAACAGAAGCAGGAAATAAAACAAGTATTTATAGTAAAGTACACAGTGCTTCCTTAGTTCTTGTAGTTGACTTAGTGTGTGCATATTTGGTCATGTTGATTTTAACCAAAATAGTAGGTTCACATTCCTTTTTTATTTCCACAAATATATTCATAGCCATATATACTCTAACTACAAAATTTGTACAGTTGCATGAGTGGGATATTACTCAAAGAAAAAGTAGAAAGGAAAAAAGAACCATTGGATCTATTCTCTCTAGTGAAAAAATGAAATTGAATAATTAAATAGATGGATAAATAAATAAGAAAGAATCAGCTAATATAAAATCTAATTGAAAAAAGACTTCCCATATTTATCTTTATAATAAAAAAGTCAGATTTTTAAAATTATAAAGCTTGTATTTGGATGACTACATATGATGAATTTTGAAAGAATAAAGAACAGCAGGTTGAAATTTGAGCAATAAGCAAATATATATACACACAAAGTTTTATACATTTTCTGTAAATAGAAAGACCAGAGGCCCCTATTATTGTCAGGTTATTTTGTAAATTCTATCACACTATTTAAAAAAAATCTTGGTAATTTTATATTATAAGGATGCTGAAGTAATATGGCTTACTTTCAAAACTTTGTATTCAGGTCTATCAAAATTTCTGAATGTCTAAAAATGATTCATTTGTTTTCTTCTTGCCTGATGAGATCTGAAACGTAATATAAAAGGTGTGTTCTCTCCTTATTACAAATTAACAAATGTACAGGATTGTCAAATAGTAGTTAGTACAGAGAAGGTAGCTGATACAAAGTCTATAAATTCTGATTATCTCTGATAGAAAAATAGTTTTGACAGAATGCAAATACATAGCACCAATAAGCGATACCACACAAAAATTGACCTTGTAATAGTTCAGAGTTTCCATACCATCTTTTTACAGTTTCATTGTTCAATATTTCCTTTACCTTTTTGTGTTTTACTGCCTTTAAAAAAATACCATGTTGAGCTTTGGAAAACTCTGGAAAGTGCTACTATTTGGCCAAATTGAGTTTTGGTAGATCCAAGTAGTACACCCAGATTGAAAAATATTATTCAATCCAAATTTTTTTGTACAAAATCACTTGTTTTTGTTCGAATATAAAACATTTCTGATAGCCATCAAAAATTATATCACTTTGGTTTCAGTAATGTTTTCTGGCATTGTGACACTGGATAAACAAGCTTCATTACATGTACTTGTATTTTTTAATGCAATGGTTAAGTTTGTCTGCCACAAGAACATGTCCATCATCAGTTGTAGATATCCCCAGTGGCTGATGCAGCTTGTCGCCAGTGCTCTCAATGCAAGACACAAACGTGCCGTCATACTTAAAAACTTGCAGTCTGTTGTTACGGCCGTCTCCAACAATGATGTTCCCATGTCGGTCAGTGCATACCCCAGATGGACTCTTGAACTGACCTTTGCCCTTTCCCTCGAACCCTATCTGATGCTTAAAGGAAGCGTGGCGGTTGAGAACCAAGACGCAATTCCTCTCCTGGTCGCACACCATGATATCGTCGTCTTGGCCAATGGCAATGGTTCCAGGCCGCTTGATGCCGCGGAACGTAGAGGTGATGTCACCTTTCTTGTTGAAAATCAGGAGCTTCTCGTGGCAGTAGTCTGAGACGATGATGTCGCCTTGACTGTTGGTACCAACACAAACCCCTCCGCTCTTCTCACCATTGCATATAGGCATGACCTGCTTGAGGCGGCCGTCGAAATCAAAAATTAAGATACGATCAGCGTACAGCTGAGAGGACTGGATGTAGGCCTCAGGGCAGATGATTTCTTCTTTTGCGGCATTGACACACACGTCACTGCTCCCTGTCAGCTGACCTTCTTTTTTCTCCTCCATGGCAGCGAGGTGAAAATGGCGGACGTACTTCCCGTCTTTGTCAAATATCTGCACTTTGTTGAGATCCAGGACAAAGTAGTTCTCACCCACAGCATGGACATGACGAGGACGGAATAACTGACCTGGACCATCTCCCTCCTCGCCGAACTTCATTACAGGATTATTGCTCTGGACCAGGATGGGGACCTCTTTTAAGGTTTGGTCATGGAAAACCAGGCGACATTTGTGAGGGCCAGAGATCTGTGGCCTGAAGGTAAAGCTGTAATTGCCATTCCCCCTTTCCTCTGTGCTGACACTACATACCTTGTCTCCAAATGGGTCCAGGATGTCCAGTGCCACTTTAAGGCACGAGAGAGGCTTGTCTTCGTAATTGGCTATCGCGACCTTGACACAGGATTCCAAGCTAGCCGTGGCACTTTCTGGCTCCATGTCCACCTTAGCAGGCATCCATTTTGAGTTGCGGAGACTTCCCATTCGGTTCAGCCCACCTCGAATCTCCTGCAAGGCATCGAAATCCTTAACAGAGAATTGTGGGTATTCTATAGTGACTTCCTTGGAGCTGCAGTTAGTGGCGTCTTCACCCTCTATGTTGTTTGCATCTTCCTGCTTGGCGGTGTCAATCAGGTCTTGAAGCTTGCCTTTCTTGATAGTATGGCTGATTTGCTCTGAAGTGGAGGTAAGCTGATTGTAGTGCATCTCTGTCTCGATGATCATGTCCTTGAGCTTTGCTGCAATATGGCCGTGTTGGGTTCTCAAATTTTCCTTCATCTTTTGCCGGCGTTCTTCAATAGCTAGGCAGCACTTGTCCAGGGAGGTGTCGATGTCGGCCTCTGTCATCTTCTGCAGGCCGTTGAGGGAGCTGAGCTGCACTTGTAATGCTGACAGGATGTCTTCTTCTGACTGCATGAGTTGGCGTAATTTAGTTAACCTTTCCTGTAGTTTTTTAGTGAAGTTCCCCTTCATCACTGCCACCTCAGTGATAACGTGACCCTCACTCTCACGATGACTGAGAATGGTGCAGTCTCGACAGATGGCAGTCTCGCACTTGGAGCAGAAGAAGGACAGCGGTTGGTTGGCATGGGTTTGGCAGCCATCTTGATCTTTTTGTCGTTTGGTCATTCCCATCAGTAGTTCCTCCATTTCCATGATATAGAAGTTAGTCTGGAGATGGGTGGCTCCACCTGTGTGTAATAAATGTGATGAATTACTATATATCAATGGTCCATCTCAACTTGATCACAGAACACAATAATTCTTCAGTGACAAGGAAATTGAGCAAGTAGACTAGTCCGTTTTTCCTGCTTTGATTCCCATTGTGCACTGTAAGTAGGAGAGAGGTCCAGCCGACTACATAGCTAGTTCAGAAGTTGATAATTCACTGGAAACTTACATATGATGCCATCTCATTTTCATTATTTAGAAAATTACTTTGATACATGTGTTCCACCTTGTGATATAAGGATAGCTAATCAATGTTGATTGATAGCCAGTCTTAAGTAATTGGTAAAAGCAGTCAGACTGTGATTGATATGGAAACAAACCTGCAAGCTCACTTGCAACACTTTAAAGTTTGTTAATTGGTCCTGGGGATCTCTGGAGGGAGATATGAGACTTGGATAATAAAAGTATTTAGAATACATCCTATGTCAAATAGAAGGAATTTTTGTTTACATATGTATTGCAATTATTATTATTATTTTTGTCTTTTGTTCTTTGATTATCCCATTATTTGATTATTATTTTGTGGAAGCTATATGGATTTTTAAAGCACATTTTATTTTTGTAATTAAGTGGGATTTAAGTTTTAGAAGAAACACATAGCACACCAGTTATAAATATATATAGTGTTAATTACACAGGGGGTGACAATCATGGGGATTTCCTGATTTGAGGGACTTTATTCTGGTCCAAACAAACACCTGCATGTAAAAAGTAAATACGTCATTGGCTGGAGTAGCTCTAACACTTGCCAATTTAGCCAAATGTTAACATTAACTTAAATTGGCTTAACAAAAGAGGGTTGATTTGACTTGTTTTAGTCAAAATTTAATCATTTGGAGAAAAAACTTGATAGAAGAGTAGTGATTGGTAGCTAATGCCTCCTTTACACTGGACGGCGTCCTTTCTGCGACCATGAAATTTGGCATCGCTGTGGTCTTAATAAGGAGGCACGAGCATTAATTTTGTATCAGAATGAATGCTCAATGATCGGCCAGTTGTCGGCACGTAAAGCATTATAATTTTTTAACTCTCAAATGGGGCCGTACTGCTGGACGCAGAAAGGACGCCGTCCAGTGTAAAGGGGGCTTAAGTAAAAAAAAAAAAGTAACACTACCCCAGATTGGACTTTACACAAACCCAGCCACAGAGGAGTAGACACCCTATTTATTTACCTGGAGGCAAGCCGACCTCTTGTCGACATGTTGGGCACTTAGCCTTCCCTTTGGAAGTCTTCAGTCCATCAATACACTTCATACAGAAGGTGTGGTGGCAGGGCAGGAGTTTGGGCTGGTGTTCCTCGTGGTCATACTGCTCAAAACACACCTGACAGCTTAGGAGCTGGTTCTCCACGTCCATGGTACTGGAATATATGGAACAGCTATATTAGTTGTGTTTATGAGAGATATAGGTATATATATATATATATATATATATTTGATATATACAGGAGCTGGTTCTCTGCGACCATGGTACTGAAATATAGGGATCAACTATATTAGGTGTGTTTGTGGGAGAAATATTATATAATAGATATACAGGAGCTGGTTCTCTGCGTCCATGGTACTGAAAGACATAGGACAACTGCATTAGCCGTGTTTGTGGGAGAAATATATAAAATAAATACAGGAGCTGGTTTCTTTCTATGTCCAAGGTACTGAAATATAGGGAACAATTACATGAGTCATGTTTGTGGGAGAAATATATATAATATACTGACAGGCAATGAAAACGCATCATTTATTTATCAAATAATATTTTTAGTTCCTTTGGCACATTAAGAAATAACAGTTTACGTGTGAAATATGACCCATTATTCAGACACACAAGGTGAAATAAAGGTCAGAAAAGATTAGAATTTTTACTTATTTATATGGTTGGAATTGTTTCTCAGTAAAAAAGTTCAAGAAAGTTTTTTGCTGCGTTTTCATTGACTGTCAGTATAGATATAAGAGCTGGGTCTCCATGTCCATGGTACTAGAATACAAGGAATACAATGACACTTTTCTGCTTTTGAAACCTTGAGAAGGAAATGTCTGCATGATTGGCAACAAATATATCAGGGAGTCATTTGTCTCTGAACTAGTCAATTTATGAATGTTAAACCTGTCATAATTATTTATTGTTAGATACCTTGTCTATGAGCACTGCACAAGTTGTTGTTAAGTCCTTTCTCAGTCTCGTCCTGCCATGACACTTGTTTTGATTCTAGATTGAGCTCTAATTCCTGTCACTCTTTCCTTAGAAACATGTCACATTTTTGGTTTCTTCAGACAAGGTGGCATTTGTCACAGGACATCTGAACACGGAATTTTCATCTTGTCATCCTCAGATCTTGTTAGGCTTGTTACCTGCACCTGTCACGTTCAACGCACATGTTCGTTAAGGCAGGAATGGTGTAAATAGGGTGATGCGAAGGTACCTTAGAGATCTGCTTTCAGGGCTCGCTTGGTGACACAAGGGGCCCAGTTGGCAGTATAATGGAAAGCTGATTGATTGGTAAATGACTGATACTGAATGTGGTGTATTGTGGTATACATGTTCAGTGGCCAAGGATTGATTGGTATATCAGGGGTGGAATTAGGCCGTCTGCCGGGCCTTCTGGAAGACAGTCAGATATTCAAGTTTACATTGACGGGTATCTAATTTTTTTCTGTTGGAAGACGGTCAAAAATAAAGGATGGATCAAAAAAGATAATTTGGAAGACTGTCAGAAAATATCTGTGGATCCGCCTCTGTATATGACTGTAACTGAATGTGGGTATTGTGATATACATGTTCAGTGGCCAGGGCCCTGGCATATCTAACCACTTATTGTAGACAAATACAGAAATGCATGGATGAACAATTGACTGAAATGGCAATCGGACACATTCATGTTTGGAGGCCCTTTTGCTGTACATAAAGCCAATATTTGTACTTGTTGTATCTAGACAGCTATCAATCAATTATTATCATTGTTTCTATTGTTAAACCAGTTATTGTTCATGTTAGGAGGATGTATTTCATAAACTCCTGGCTGCAACCAATGAATGAATTAATAATTGTGGCCTTTTATGGCGGATCAATATTGTACACAATTACTCCTCATTTGCACTGGGATGAAATGTTAAGATATGGGACTTAGTATTGAAGAGCACTTGTTTATGGGTATTAAGACACCTGGTGAATTCTTTTACCTTGGATGTTATGAAAACAAAATAGGTTATCTAACTTTTATTCATTGGTAGGAAAAGTGAAAATTGTGCAGGCTAGAGCACTTTCAAATTGTTTATTTAGTAACTTAGGTTTGCAGGCCTATTGTATAATACACTGTACGATTTCTGGGAACAAATGTAATGTTTTACATCCTGTGGAAGTGTATACAAGACTTCCTTGTATTTCTCCAGTAATAACATTTGGTGGATTTCCTTTTTATTTGTGGGAGTGTAGAAAGTTCCTGGGTTTCAAATGCTATTTTTAATATCAAGAAACTCAGGAGAAGAGGATTGATTTTCATCTTTTTTGGAAACATAAAATTAATGATAATAATAACAAGAAAAAGAGTATATAACCTTTCTCTACATTTTTGAAAATATTTCTGCTATAAAGCACTTTAACAGCCTCTATTATAAAATGCACTTCGACTTGTCAGTGAACAGAATATTCCTATCAGCATCTTGACTTGTTATAAACCAGGTGTTTCCATTTATAGGTGTAATATAAGAAGAAATATTATTCAAAACAATAAAAGCTGTTATCTGTAGTAAAAAGATACTTGTAATGTTTGTGCTAATTGGCATCTATTTTGCCATATTAAATGCAGATATTTTATATATTTTGTTTACTGATACACCAAATATCATATATATGTAATAGACAGAAAATCTATATTATGGATTACGAATATGAATTATGTGTCTGTGTGTGCCTGCGTATGTGCATGCTTGCGTGTTTGTGGGTGTGTTTGCTTGCGTATGTGTGTGTGTGCACACAGTGAGCAGTGTATTGAAAACACGACCAAGGTCTTTATTGTCTTCTGTTGACATTACATCCAATGTAAAGATCAATACTTTTTTGTCACTATGTTAACTTTGTAATTGATCAACTTTATTGCTGTTAAAAATTCTCCACAGTACTGATGTGTCGTTTGAGATGGATGGGTCTAGGTTATGATACCAGGGAAGTTCTATATATTATTATTTTTTTTGTGATTTTTGTGTACATACGTCTGTTTATCAAATCGTCAAATTTCTGTCTTTTTAAAGGATGGATATATTGTTCTTAAATTTCATGCACAGCAAATTTCAGGGGTGGATGTTGAGGAATTTTGCTAAACATTTGACTTTTTCTGGAATCCAGCTCACATAATTCTCTCTCTTTTTTGTCTCTTAATTGACAGCAAGCCTAGGTAATTTGTAGAAATCATTTACTTCAAAATAAATGATAAATATTAATTTCAGTATCATAACTTGTGCATAGCACACTACATATCCTCTGAGGATGTTACTGCTGGATGTGCCCTGTTAAATTTAAATACTGACAGTGCCTGTGTACTAATTATATATCACTTGGTCTGGGTAAAAGATCAGGGGCATGAGGCAAATGCTTTAGATGTGATGTAGCATGCAAGACATTTGGTATCATAATGCCTTATATATTCATGATATATATAATATTATTTTGTCTCTCTGTAGAGGCTGCAGCAGAATCTGGCCCATGCCGAGCATGTGACTACAGATGCTGAGACAAGAAAACAGATGGAATACAGACAGGAACTGGATAACCTGGACAGGGAGATGCAGAATGTGCAGGTAGTAGAGCATGTGTGTGCATACACGTGTGTGTGTGTGTGTGTGTGAGAGAGAGAGAGAGGGAGGTATGTGGATAACCTGGACAGGGAGATGCAGAATGTACAGGTAGTAGAGCATGTGTGTGCATTCTCTTTCTCCCCCACCCTCTCTTTCATTATGTGTGTGAGAGTGGATAATCTGATTTTCTTGGATAAGATAAGACATGAATAAAGGAGTTAGAGAATAAAACCAGAAATCTGAAGAATATGTAGATAATTAGATCATTACTCACAAGTTTCAAACATATCACTTAAATCGTGTTTGTTCAAAATACAATTATTATTATTTTCTCACTAGCTGGCAAAACTACAAAATGAAAACCGTGACCTGGAGAAAGAAGTCCACAAACTGATGAATGAACTGAAAACTAGAAGGGTTTGTATGAGTTTGTGAGCCAGGGCCATTTTGTACTATTTAATCCACCCTTATATTGACAGAAATGGTCGATTAGTGACATGTACTTTTCTGTAGTGAACTGTACTTGGTTTTTCCTGTGCTCTGTACTTACAGAAGGCATAACTGGTTCTGGAGAAGTCACATGGCACATCTTTATTCCAATAAATGCACACCAGTCACTTGTTATTGTATTTGTTCTTTTCTTTTTAAAGCTCCACCCACTCATTTTGTTTTCTTTTGCAAGATCTCAGATGTGAAATATCAGACTTTGTTTATAGGGGAAAATGCTATTAGGTCATTAAAACATTGGAATATGCACACTATAAAAGAACTTAAGCCTCCAACAGTTTATAAAAATCCTGATTCTAAATTCTATCATTTGCTTACATTACCAGGAAGTAGAAGCCATAGATATATATTGATAAACTTATATATGCTCTAACTAGGAAGAAGAGGCCATAGAGACCCTGGAGGAGCTCCAGGCCCAGAGGCGCCAGGCAGATGTAGCGGCAGAGAGGAGGACACGTCTCCTCAGGGAGGAATCTGGTCTGGCTGAGGACCACCTGGAACAGCTGGGGAACACGCTGGACCAGTCCTTTGGTATGGGATAAGATTTGTATATCAGTCTAAAATGCTTTGGTTATTTCTCATCTTTTTATTATTTTTTCAAAATGCTGGACCAGTCCTTTGGTAGGGGATAGGGTTTTTGTATAAGGATTTTGTTATTTCTCGTCTTTGTATTACTTTCTAATGGATCAGCCTTTTGGTATGGGAGAGGATTTGTATATAAGTTGAATCTACTAAGAAAGAAGTTTTTCATGAGCTTGACTGATGCTGTATATAGAATAATTCTGTTTTATCAAGTTTTAATGTCCTTTTCATAGTATCGATCAGTTAACATAATATTTGACATATAGTGAGATTGAAAACACAGAATATTGTAAATTACTACATTGCTATCTTTTGGGTGAAAGAAATATAGTATCCTTCTAATTTGTCATGTATTGGTGTTGAAGTTTAACCTCTTTATCACTTCAGAGCGTCTCCGAGACCTTAGGCAGAGAGCGACAGATAACAGAGATCAGTCTTGTCTGAATGAGGTTTCCACTGGAACTGATGGTACCACTACATGTAAGTAACAGATAACAGAGATCAGTCTTGTCTGAATGAGGTTTCCACAGGAACTGATGGTACCACTACATGTAAGTAACAGATAACAGAGACCAGTCTTGTCTGAAAGAAAGAGTGTATCCCTGAAGAAATAATGTTCTAGTAGGACTTGTATCCCCAAACAAACTTACCAGCCTCATCTTTATATGCATTACTGATACTATTAGATATATAATTTTAACAGAGATAAATAAATATTTACTTCAAATTTATTTGAATTCATTTTCGGAAAAAAATATCATACTGAAGATCTTGTTAGCTTTGGGGGTAAAAAAAAATGTGTGTACATTTGTGCAGCTTGAAGTTCAGAAGCACAAAATTGGAAAAATATTTCCATACATACAATTAAGGTGAGAGTGGATCTTGTAGACACAGATTTTGATTGTGTCAATAATATTGCTGTACAGACTTAATTTCCATTGCTTGAAATTATTACTTTTCCTTACATGTGATTTCCTTATTTTCCAGTGTCATTTGACAGAACAGGCCGCACAAGTTTAGATGAAGGAGAGGCCATGCTTATGCAGGAAGTGAGGAGGTTGAGAGAAAAACTGGCTTCGGATAGCAGGACTAAGAAACCGCCTGCAGAGTTTTGATTCAAAAGCTTGGAAGGGAATGATAAGGAATATGAAAAAATAGACTGCAGAAATTAAGTTGCACTGTAAATGGAATGTGGTCCACACAAAATAGGGCAGTGACGCTGGCAGCAGAAAGGGGATATGTTGTCAAAAAATGCTTTCTTTGGTTCGGTAAAAGGTATCAACTTGTCTTGGAGAAAAAGAAAAAAAACTAGATTTATACACTAGTGAAGCAGTTGGCACATTTTTTTCGCAGAGGAACACAATTTATGTCGGAAAGAGATAGAACTTGATGGCAGAAAAAGTGAGGGGTCACAAAAACTTTCAACCACGTCGGGACTGTCATGGCAATTTTCTCTTCTTCTGGTATATCTGATCACAACTTGTACTTGGAAGCAAGCTATTTATTTTTAATGTAGATATACTGCATCAATCACATTAAATTTTTTAAGAAATTGTAAAATTTCACAAGACTTTTGTAAGTTTGATTGCAATTCTCTGTGTGTATATTCTGAGGGAAGGCTTATTAGACTGGGTTCCCATCCCAAGATCAATCTAACAGGATTGTTCCATCTCCAAGGGGTTTCTCGCTATATTGCTTTCAGCTTGAGAGACTTAGATGGCTGGCACGCCTGTTTAAGGCAGGGGGTGGAAACGCGCTACTTATATGATTATGACGAGCCTAACCGTCAGTACCGGATACAGGTTTGTGATTTTGAAGGGCAATTAGGCTTGATATTTGCAGCACGCATGAACAGTAGTCGATCTACCACACCTGGGTCTTTTGTTTTTGACAACTGTTCACTCGTCAATGAGGTGCTTGTTCAAGACTACAGGCTGATATCTACTAGTACTACCAGTGGCTTCATTAGTAACGTTCCCAGAATACATGGTTTTCTGTCTGTGCGTACATACCCTGAATTTGGTTAGCCTCACTGACGAGAACAATGGACGTTTCTCAACCCTCTCTAGGATTACCCCTTTATGCTGCTAAACGATAATTACCCCCTATCAGCTTCAGTGTGACAGACATCTAAGCTACTTAAGTTAATTGCAATTAAGTGACAGATGTATAATTATACTTATGAACTCACTTTTGCTTTAAAATTACATACTCAAATGTAGTTTTGTCCAGTATTTTTTAAACATAAAACTTTGGAGTTTTTACACCACTAGCTCCAACCAGCTAGTCCTAGACTGCCTTTCTCTTTAGTTGAACTTTATTGCGTCTCTTTTTCAGTTGCTTTTTAAAAGTGTAACTGTGTTACAACAGTATTTTTGCAAAAAATAAGACGCTCAATACAACAAACTACATATGCTTTTTCCTCATTTTGAGGACTTTGAAATACAATGCATTTACTTCAAACAAGTTTTCATGTCACCAACTAAACTGAGTACATGTGCAAGCATATCTCTTTGACAGATTGATATTTTTATGCAAAAAATAATCCAAGTATTATAAATGGCATTTTGTGTAAGATCTCATCATACTGTAACAGTTGCTAAATAAATATTTTTTTGATAAAAAAACATTGTTAATTTTTATATGATTACAGTAAACTTTAAACATTTTTATGCCAGTAAAAAGGTGAGCGCAAAAAAATGTCCAAAATGTGCTCATTTATTTCAGTGTGTAAAATCTTGTAAATAACAATAATAGATAACATCTAGATAACTATCTATGACAAACACAAAACTCTTGAACAAAGTGCCAATAGAGAAAACTAGAACAACATATTATGGCACTTGATATAGCAACTTTTCATCATATGGAACTTTCAACAATAACAACAACAGTATTCTAGATCTACAACAGGTTATGAACAGTTTGACCTTAAGGAATCTGCATTAAAATAAACAGCATACAAAGTAACTATATAAGATGTCAAAACTCAAGACATTGACTCAATATCAGGGTGTGTTTAATGTACACTCAACCATGCACCTATTTTAATGTCTGTTGTGTGAAGAGTGTTAACTCAGAATAACCAGTGTTTGGAAACAGGAATGAGAACATGAAGATAATATATCCTTCAACC